AACATTAAATCACAAGACCCGAGTCTAGAATACAACAAAGGTCGGGTCAAAACTGAAATCGCTAGAACCTCCCCCCTTTAAGGAATTTTGTCCCCGAAATTACAAATCATGTTTCAAAATCAAGTTTTGTTAATTTCCAAAATAGTTACAAATCAATCCTCAACACCATGACCCACCTGCTGGTCATTCAATCCCTCCACAAGATGAACAATTACAGAATATACATTTTAACATATATTGCCAATATGCATTTCCCGTAGTTTTAACCAATTTCAACACGTATATCTCATATTTCAAAACATATTCAATGTTTATGATAGATTCGCATTTTCAAAACTTAAACAACATATACAATGTCCATATTAAACCTGCGTTTCCGAAACATATTTAACATATACAATGTTCTCATTATTCAAAACAAATACAATGTTTTTACAGTTCATGAACAAAATTAAAACCTCAACATATGCTCAAACATCAATAAATAAATCCAGATATTTCTCACGAACTTCTAATTCACAATCCCAAGTTGCTTCCTCAACCCCGTGATGTTTCCAGAAAACCTTAACTAAGGGAATCGTCTTGCCCCGCAAGACTTGGTTCCACCTACCCAAGACTCTCACTGGTCTCTCCTCATACGAGGCATCCTCATCTACCTCTAAGTCGGTCCAATCCAATACGTGCGATGGATCCGGCTCGTACTTCCGAAGCATACTAATATGAAACATGTCATGCACTCTAAAAAGTTGTGGCGGCAACGCCAAATGGTAGGTAACGTCCCCAATCCGCTCAAGGATCTCAAAAGGTCCAATAAATCGAGGGGATAACTTCTCAATCTTCCTAAATCTCATCAAACCCCTCCTAGGGGATAACTTCAAAAATGGCGAAACCAACTTCTACTCGGATCAAATTGAAGAGCTTGAGGAGTTCTACCTTTTTAATGAAGGCACAAGGGTTGAGAAACCACTTGAACTAGGTGGAAATCTAGAGAGAGAGAGAGAGAGAGTATTTTAGAGAGAGAGGGTCTCACTTTAGGGTTCTGAGATGGATTGATCTGAAAAAGTGCTTTTTGCGATTTGATGTGCTCGCAACCCGCTCGAGTGGAGAAGTTGATGCTTGAGCGTCAGACACAAAGTTTTGTTCCGCTCGAGCACAAAAAGTGGCTTGCTCGAGCGTAGAACACACACATCTAGTATTTATGCAGACAACAGACAACCTGCTCGAGCACAAGGGATGCTGCTGCCGCTCGAGCGCAGAAAACACCTCTCCAGTATTTTGTAGACGTGCAAAGTACTGAGTGTTTGCAAACCCCGCTCGAGCACAAAAAGGCCCGCTCGAGTGGAAGACCAAAATTTTGGGCAACAACATTCTAGACCAAATGGCAACCAACCTGTTTTAAACACGCCCAAGACACTCAAAAACTCAAATTCAAAGAGGAAAAAGGAGGAAAAGACATAGATAACACATTAAATCACAAGACCCGAGTCCGGAATACAACAAAGGTCGGGTTAAAATCGGAATTGCTATAATTTCACATGCAGGGACCAAAGTGGGATTTGACCAAAAGTATAGGGGGTTGACTGTTATGATTTCATGTGTAGGAATCGAAGTGAGATTTGATGCAAAGTGCAATTTACCCTTTGGTTTGCCAATATCATAAGAATGCGAAAGTTAAGGATACAAGATACACCTTTTAATATTGAAATTTTTTAATTTTAATTACAATTAATCTTAATTAAATATTGTTAGAAAATAATTTATAATAAAATATAAATCATCTTGTTTAGTTTTCAAACTCAAAAACTGGTTTTAGTTATTTTATTTTCTTATGTTTTGTCTTTAGTGAATTTCTTCTAATTTGTGTCATTTTTTATTTTTACTTTTTAAATGTAATTAAAAAATAAAATATTTGCAACAATGTTGGATCCCAATAAAAAAGTATATCATAAAAGTATCTAGAAAATAAAATATGTGGATCACAATCATTCAAAGGGTGGCCACATAATACCAAGTTCAATCAACACTACACATTTCACTTTGACAATAAATTTCATATTGCTTTTTTGGGGTACATATCTTTTCCAAATATTTGTGAAAATATTCAGAAATGGACTTAGTTCCCCCCCCCCCCCAACAAAAAAAAGAAAAGAAAAAAAGAGAGCACATTTTTGTGTTTTTTGTCTTTAGTAATTTTTTTTTTTGGTGTAAAAATATTTGAATTAAATATATAAAATAAAAAATTAAAGAAAACTTGAAAAATAAAAAATTCGAAAGCAGCTTTCAAAAACTAAACAAAACAAGGTTAATATTTTCACACTGTTAAAGAAAAAGTAAATAAATAAAGTAGAAGAAGTATTATTATACTTGTTCTTTTAAGGTATATATATAAAATATTTGTGCATTACTCGTGGTATTCTTCCACTTCGTGTGTTAAAATTTTTAATATTGTTCTGTTTGTGTCTATATCATGTTGTATTCATGTCTCGTGTTTGTATCTGTGTTTCTCAATACATAGTGCATAAACCTAAGAAGTATAAATACTGATATAGACATGTGACACGACAGGGACACGTGGACACATAAATTTTTAAAAAATGTAAAACATGACACATTGGGGATACGTGTAAAAAATATAATTTTATATATTTATTATATGTTATATTTTTAAATGTTTAATATGCATTTTATGACAAATATTTAATTTTATTAAATTTATCAACTTTAGGTATATTATTTAAGTAAAAAAATTAAAAATTTTATTTTTTTTGATGAAATAGTTCTCAACGTGTCTTTAACGTATCCTCAGTGTGTCCTCAATGTGTCTCTATTGAAAAATTTAGAAATTCCCTAGATATTGATTTGTGATTATGTATAACTATTGAAAAATCTAGAAATCCCTTAGATATTGATTTGTGATTATGTATCAATTTACACCAGTAAATAGCAATCCCAATCAAATAATCAAAGACAAATCGACATAACCATTTTACGTGGAAAAACCACAATTAGAGTGTCTCCAATTGTGATAAAAAAACCACGGCCAAACGCTACAAAACAATCCACTAAGAAGACATAAAGGAATTACACATGTGTATTCTCAATTACCTAGCGAATCCACGCCCGAATCGAACCAACCCCTATGTGCCTCTTCCAGCCAGTCTTCACCTCGGAATTGTCTTGCCCAACGTTGAATCCGCAACGCTGATGTCGAATCCATGACGATGAGCCACTGCAGAATCCACCAAAGCTTCAGGCTTAAATTCCTAGAAACCACCGAAGAACAACTCTCACTTTGTATTAAATAAAACAAATAATTTTTTGATGTATACTTCTCAAATCATGAGTTCAACTCTCACAGATATCAAAGAAACTAGCAAAGAAGCTCCAAAAGAAAACCCTAATACCCAAAAAAAAGATCTGGAAGCCGGAACCCTAAACTCGGACTAAAACACATATTTATAGAAAACAGGGCCGCGATGCTCACTCGAGTGAGGAGACTAAAACGCGTGTTTTTACTAGTGTCTTTGCTCGAGCCACCAAAGTGTCGCTCAAGTGAGAAATGCAACTTCTCAGTATTTTTATAGTCAGTGAAAACTTCTGGGACTAAAGATTCTTTGCTCGAGCGCACACTCCTTCGTTTGAACGACCAAATAGCTTCGACTACAATTTTACTTTTGGCTTCGGGGGGGTTGCCCCTCGACCCTGCCTGGACGCTGCCCTAGACTCGCCAAAGGGCACTGCCCCCTGGACTCCCACGAGTTGACCTAGCAGCTCGATCCCCGACATAGTTAGTGAAGTGGCAACATGATAAGATTAAGATCATAAACTCCTCTGCAAAGGGACAATTTGGGTTGGATTCGAATTTAAAACTCATAGCCTCACTGAAATAAAAGATAGAATAAAATTACAACTAAAAGGAGTTTTGTCAAATGGGATTGCCAAGAATAAAAACCTAACACCTATGTCTTCGCAGCGTGTCTCAAGTGTCCCCATGTATCCGTGTTCGACACGTGTTGGACACTTGTACGTGACCTCCGAAAAGGTGTAGCATAGATACCAACTAACCAAATTGTCTCAAAAGTTAGAAACATATTATAGATAACCATAAATATTGTAGCCCTTTTGAAAAAGAAGGTTGAATGAGAAAATTATTAACCTCTGTGGCTTCTAGTAATAGAATTACAATATTAAATAGAGCAGGATTGTTGATTACTCTTAGTTAAAATTGATGTTGGTAATTAACCAAAGGGTTTGACTTAGTGGGAGAAGAAGACAATTAAAGTGTTTACCACCAAAAAAGTCACAAGTTCAAATATCACGAAAGCCAAACATCGCAAACCTTGGGGTCATTGGAGGTTTGCTTGGTCGTTAATTTTAGGGCCTTAGATTAATCAAGATGCGTAAGTTGGTTCAGACACCCAATTATCAAAAAAATTTGATACTGGTAATCTTAGTTAGTAAGTAGAGATAGCATTCCACTTAAAGTCTCCAATTTATGGTTTGAAATCCCTATACAAAGATTGGAGGATTTTGGTGTATCACAAAATCATTTCAATCACTTATCCCGTTTGGCCAATACCTCTATACCTCACTAAGAGGTTATTGATTCGAATTTTTTCACCTGCGTATTGGTATTGTTTCTCGTATATTTGTTGGGTTTCTATCTCCTTCTTTGAGAGTTTCTTTGTATTAATGAATTATCTATGCAAGTGGTAACTATAAACATAATGAATTATCGTAGTGATTTATTAAATGTCATTCTCATAACTCCAATGAAAGATTGATCGATTCAATGTTTCATTAACTTATAATATGATAAACATTATCAATTCCTTCAAAGTTACATAAATATGAAGCAAATGTTGTTAATTTTTAATTATTTACTGCAGGTTGTGAGAGCTTATTGAGATTGGAAAAGCTAGAGACGTTATATCTTCAATATAACAAGTTCAACAATAGCATCATTCTATGTTTGAGTTCATTGATATCCCTCAAAAACCTTTCTCTTCGAGGCAACAACTTGGGAGATCCCTTTCCTGCCCGAGGCATGTCTATCTTTATGAGAGCTCCCAAAGAGAATATATTATCCATCCTTATCCTATTCATATCTTCACAAGAATTGTTTCAGTGCAGAATTAACGGTGATGAAAAACTTGGAGACGTTGGATTTAAGCTATAATGAGCTTAGCTCCCTAACAATACAAGGTATGACTTAAGAACTTCCTAGATTCAATTGAATAGAACTATCAATAAATTTTATATTTATGAGTTCATGTTTAAGCCACCTGCTATGGATACACAAATATTAAGGCCTCGTTTGGGAACATGCTATTTTAATAATTTTTTGGCACAAGTATAGCTTACAACAATGGATCAAAAGTACATCTGTTAATTTGAAAGCAACTTCTTAAATATTGCTCTACCCATTTAGAATTATTACAGCTTCTTTACACGCTTCCCCATCTAGTTGTTTTTGTTAGCTTAGGCATTGAGTTGTAGCCGTTGTTGGTCTATGTTATATAACATATAAGAGTTTTAGTGACTTTATTGTTTAGTTTTTAAAAGTGAAAATTTTGTTATAAAAGATATTTAGGGATCAATTTCTATCGTTGTGAGAATAATTGCTAAAAGGTCGTCCTGAAAAGTCAAAACAAGGTTTTTAGCGACAAAATTTTGAAATGTCACCAGTAAATAGGGACAAAATGATTTATTTTTTGAGACAAAAAATTTGGTCCCAAAAGGATAATAATTCATCACTAACGTCCAATTTTCGTTACTAAAAATATAGTGACACTTTTCACAACAAAAATATTTGGTCCCTAAAAAATAATTTTTTCCTAAATTTTAGTCTTTAAAACCTTTTTTTTTTTTTGGGTTTTGTTTTGTAGTGATGGTTTTGTTGTGCCAACAGAAGAAAAAAAAAGTATAGGAAAAATTAAGCACAAATAATACCATTATTTTGTAGGTGGTATTATTACCAAGCAAAGCGACTACAGTACCAAAATACCCAAACAAAATAATACCACCTACAAACCACAACTTAATAGATATGATACACCAAGGCATAACCCTTTAACTTGCTTTTTTAATAGAAAATTTCCATTAGGAGTCGGTTTGCAATTTTGGCCTAAATATTCTGCTCAAGCAGCACTACTCATTCTTCTTTATTGAATCATCTCTATTACTCTCACAAAAAACATGCTCTCACATGAGAGGAGAGCTCCTCAACCCTTGGGCGTATTAAAACCTTGGGCATGCTCAAATTTCTAACTCTAAGCCTCTTTTAGACCAAATTATTATTGTAAAGATTATGAAATTATTGCTGCAAGAATGCTTCATAGAAGAAAAACCGACACCTAAAGATAGAACTTGAGACAATTTCCAACAAGTTCACATAAAGAGAAAGGCCATGAATCAATTAAACCGAAGAGGATTTGACAAAGGCATTGGACAATGCATGGATTTTAGAGTGTTGTGTCATTCATTGAGCTTCAGAAGAGCATTTTAATGTCTACTTGAAATCAGTGGTGGAGCCATATGGGGACTAGGTGGTCACGTGCCCCCCCTAGATTTTTCTTTTATTTTTTATTTTTTATTTTAACATATGTATATAAATAAAATTTTAAACAAAAATAATATTTAGAATAAAATGTTAAGGGCTTTTTTCAATATATGAAAACAATAGTGATTGTTTCAATGAAAATGAAGTGACTACAACAAATTATATTTTTATGTATGAAAATTTTGTGAAAAAATCTCAATATAAAGGTAATATCCATCATTATTGATATGCAAATATAATTAATCTCACCATATATATGTAAAAATTACTAGAGTGTTAGTTATATTTGCATGTGGAGTTCACCTTTCATATGTTGCTTTACTATTGGTTGGTGATATTATATGTCAATAATGACGTGATATCACTATTGTATGAAATTTTTACTCAAATTTTGAAAAATTTGATTTATTTTACCATTATATAATTTATTTTATGACTTAAATATATGACTTTTTTACATTGTCCATGATACACTAGTTACATGCAATACTTTCTTTTCGATTTTACTCGAAATTAATTGTAAACTTTTATGTGACACACTTTTGTAACAAATTTATTTAATTTTTTGTACTTAATATTAATTCAAAAATTATTATTATCTTCTTATTGTTGGTTATGGAAAAAAAAATTAAAGTTGTAATTAATAAGTGTCCTTCCTGATTTAGTTTCCTGGGTCCGCCACTGCTTGAAATGAAGAAAAAAATAAAAAAATTGATGTTATAACTTTGTATCTAGATAGCTGACATTTTCCTTGATAGTAACATTCAAGATCATAAATTTCTACTGTGCAATTATGTGTAAAATAATGATGGAGCCATTCAATGTTGTGCTCTTGATTTTCAAATACTTAAATAAATAACAGAAAAGCCCAAAAAGAGAAAGCAAGATAAAAGAAAAAGAAATAGAAGGCTGGGAAATAGTTGTTAGTATTTCTAGCTCTACAACTTCTTTTGTTTCATTTTGTTTATTATTTTTTTAACTGGTTCAACTTACCTATTGATTTAAAATTGAAAATATGATTAAATACGTTAGATGTTACTTATGAAAGAAATTGTCTACATTGTATGGTTTTATACATAGCAAGTAATTCCCCATGAGTAGAAACAAATGGAAGTGTGTAGTTCTAAAATTAAAATGACTTAGCTAGTGGTTTGTGGTTTACCTAATTCTTTGGGGTTAACTTTTAATCACATTTGATCATGTCATATGCTCAGATTCTAAACTACTATCTAATTTGAGCAAGATGAGACATCTGGATCTATCTGACAATGATTTTGACAAGGATGCCTTTGGGATTTTGGGTGCTCTCCCATCCCTTAAGTTTCTATCCTTAGAATTGAATAGAATCGAAGGACCACTTTCTAATCAAGGTACGTAAATTTTTTATTTCTCAAATTCATGCTACTATAGTTAATTTTTTTAGCTCCATTTGAGTGTTGAGAAGACTCAAATAGCTGGAAAAATGAAGCCTTACAGCTAGCAAATTGTGCAAACTTATAGTTCTTTGTCAAAAATATCTTTTTGGAATTTGTTACTGTCATCAATGGCATCATTGTCCATAAATGTTTTTAACAGTACATTTTCATTTGACATTGAGCTACTAACTGAGGTGCCCATAGAATGTAGGTCACCACATCAAATTATATTTATCTCTATTTTTTTTTAATCTCAATCTAATTAACGAGTCTCTTCACCTGGGTTATAGAATTGACTTATAATCTTAGCAATCTGGAGGTCCTCTTTCTCGGATATAATCAGCTCAATGGAACACTACCAATAGAAGGCAAGAAATTTGTTATTTAAATTGTCTTAGGATCACCTTGCAATCTTGATTGTATTTTGTTAAGTTCTCTTGGCTCTATTTTACCTTTATCATATGTTTTGGTAGGTTTGACATCCTTCCGCCATTTGGAGAGCTTAGATTTGAGTGGAAATAATTTTGCAAGTATTCCTCCATCCATAGGAGCATTATCTTCTCTGAAAGCTCTATTTCTGGCTAAAAATAACCTTAATGGTTCTTTGCCAATTCAAGGTAAAAATTCTATTCGTTAAGGTTATCTATTATAAACTAAAACGCCAACAAAAATTCTATTTATTCCTTTCTTTTATTTATTTTATTTAGTTATTTATTTATTTGCTTCATGCTTGTTTAATATGTTTAGCATTGAAGAAAATTATGAACTAGCATCATATTTCTTTTTTCAAGATTTAGGTCGTGTTTGATAAAATTAAAAGTTAAAAATTATGTACTGAAAATTAAAAGTTGAATTATTTTAGTTAAAAATTTATTTGATAAAAAAAGTGTTGAAATTGTTCAATATGTAAGAGATTAAATTTGAAATTTATTAATTTCAAATTGTATCTCTCAAATTTTATATTGTGATGGTGGTGGTGGTGGTGGTGGTGGTGGTGGTGGTGATGATGATGATGGTGAGGTTATAACAGTATATGTCGATACTTATGCATAAGTATTTATAAATTCAGCTAATATTAAGTAAGTTTTATATCACTTATTTTCTTAACTTTTAGCACAAACTTTAAGACCCGCTTAAATTTTTAAGTGACTTTAATTATAATTATCAAATGGATGTAATTGATTTTCATTCAATACATTTAGTTTTAAATATTGAATTTTGTTATCAAACAACACTTTAATATACATCTTATAATAACAAATGTTTTACATAAATCTGTGGCATTACAAACGATACGTGTTTCATAAGCTTGTTGTTTTGTAGGTTTGTGCAAATTGAAGAAACTTGAGGAGTTAGATCTCAGCCAAAATTGCTTTGAAGGGATCCTTCCTCCATGCCTAAGCAATTTGACATCTCTCAAGTTTTTTGATATTTCTTTAAACCAATTCACAGGAAACATTTCTTCATCTCTGTTTGGAAGCCTCAACTCCCTAGAGTACATTAGTCTTAGTCATAATCGCTTTGAGGGTTTATTCTCATTCAGGTCATTTGCAAACCATTCAAACCTTGAGGTGGTTGAATTAATAAGTGACAATGACAAATTTGAGGTAGAGACTGAATTTACAGATTGGATTCCCATGTTTCAGTTGAAAGTCCTTGTTCTATCAAACTGCAATCTGAACAAGCTCTCTGGCGATGTTCCGAAATTTCTCCTTTACCAAAACAAGCTAATGGCCGTTGATCTCTCCCACAATAACTTGACAAGTTCTTTCCCAAACTGGCTACTAGTGAACAACACGAGGCTAGCATATTTAGCCCTGCAGAATAACTCTTTTGTTAATCTATTTTTTCTGCCGCAATACTGCTATATAAGTACTTATGACATTGATGTCTCTGACAATCACTTAAGTGGTCAAATTCAAGCCAATATTGGGGATATGTTTCCAAATATTCAGTCCTTAAACTTATCCAGGAATGCTTTTGAAGGTGGTATCCCATCCTCATTTGGTAAGATGAGAGAGTTGTCTGTTCTGGATTTATCCAACAATAATTTGTCAAGGGAGGTGCCGAACCAGTTAGTTAGAAATTGCATATCTTTGTGGACTTTAAAATTATCATATAACAATTTTCGTGGTCAAATATTTTCAGTTGACTTCAACTTGACTCATATAAGGACTTTGCAATTGAATGATAATCAGTTTACAGGACCTCTCTGACAAATGTGCTCTCCAAATTGCCTAAATTGTATTTCCTTGATATTAGCAACAACTACATGTCAGGTGAGATTCCTAGTTCAATGGATAACATGACATCGTTAGGAACACTAATCATGCGAAATAATTCATTCAATGGTGATTTCCCATGTGCACTGGTTCCAAGTGTGTTTATGGACATCTCTTATAACTCATTTTCGGGATCAATACTTCCTTCTTGCTCAAACCCAAACCTACAACACTTGAAGCATATGCATTTGCAAGGTAATAAGTTTACAGGGTTAATTTCAAGAGCTCTCCTTAATTCATCATATCTTTTGACTCTGGATATTATATTAGAGACAACTTCTTTTTTGGCAGCATTCCTGATTCCATTAGACTACTGTCCAACCTCAGAAATTCTTCTGTTCAGAGGGAACCAACTAAGCGGTTCAATTCCAATTCAATTGTGTCAACTAAATAAGATGAGTTTGATGGACCTTTCCAATAACTATTTCAATGGTTCTATACCTCCTTGTTTTGGGAATATCACCTTCGGCACAATAAGGGCTAATGACCTTGCCTTCAGTGAAATGTCAATGTATTCTTTCTCCAGTGTGGGTCTAAAGTTTGGAGGCCTCTCAGACCTCAGTTTTTTGTACCATTATGATCATAGCAATTATGATAAAGTAGACGAAGTTGAGTTTGTCACAAAAAGTAGGAGTAGCTCTTACATTGGCAAAATCCTTAATAACATGTCCGGATTGGATTTGTCATGTAACGAACTAACAGGTAACATACCTTTTGAATTAGGAAATCTAAGTAGTGTTCATGCACTAAACTTGTCTCACAATCTTTTGACTGGACCCATCCCGAAGACCTTCTCTAACCTTATCCAGATAGAGAGTTTGGACCTTTCTTACAACAGTTTGAGTGGAAACATCCCAACAGAACTAATCAATCTAAATTTTTTGGAAGTGTTCACTGTGGCTTACAACAATTTATCAGGTAAAATATTAGATAGCAAAGCACAGTTTGGGACCTTTGAAGCGAATAGTTATGAGGGAAATCCATTTCTTTGTGGACCGCCATTGGAGAAAAGTTGTACAGCCATTGTTGACTCACCACACTTGCCAAAAACAGTATCCTTAGATGAAACTGAGGGGAAATGGTATGATATTGATCTAGTGGCATTTTCTGCAAGTTTTGTTGGAACATACATCACTTTCTTGTTTGGATTTGTTGCTATTCTTTACATCAACCCGTATTGGAGACAAAGGTGGTTCTATCTGATTGAGGAGGGTCTGTATTCTAGTTACTATTTTGTTTCTGATTCTCTTTGCAAGATATTACGCCTTTTGTATTAGTAGCTATGGTTTGTTTCCACGGACAAGTATAGCAAATGTTGTTTTCTGATTCGTAACAAGCTATTAGGCCTTTTGTATTATATTAGCTATGGTTTGTTTCCATGGACAAGTATGGCAAATGTTGTAATAGTGCTAGCTTTGTGTTGCTTATGAATGAATAAATTGAGACATAGTAAGCATTATTGGTTACTTGTTTTCATTTCATTTCATGTTGCTTGAAAATATTGCTATGAAAACATATATAGGGTCCTAGAAAACACATATATAATTTGGAAGCAAAGTTTGTAAGGTTTTTGGTAAGTATAGTAACTCCCTTTAGACATTGAAATAATTTGGATTTATGAAGAAGTTCATTGGATATCAAAAAATTGAAAAGATACAATACATATATAAGAAATCTGTTTTAATTCTTTGATTGACAATTAAGTTGGCATGTGTGACTAGCTAGCTACTTCTGGATTTAAAATAGAGAAACTAATATTTAAGACATGAGAAAGTTTGAAATTACAAATTAGAAATGTTTTTCTTTAAGATTGAGATTATGTCATGTTTGGCAAAAATTACCATCCACTCATGTTTGGCATATGGTTTTCCTTAAGATTGAGATTATGTCATGTTTTTCTTTACTTCACACACATTTTTCCTTTCTCTTTTCAAATTCCTACCTAAATTCATGTACCAAACGCGGCCTAAATAGACCAATCACTTATTGTTTATGTTATAAATCAAGTGTTGCAAATTCTAAATTAAATTTGGCTACACTCATATCTAAATAATTAAATAACAAATGTTACACTTTTACTCTTTTCTTATACAACATTTGATGTACCCTCTTATGTACCTTAATTACAACCATTAATGTAATGGATTCCATATAAGTTGCATTAATATTCAATGATTATGATTGTACCATATGAAATAGTATACTGAATGTAGTATACAAAGATAAGTGTAATATTATTGATTATATAATTGCACACGTCTAAGACTTTCATGACTTGTTGATTAATAATGACTCTAAAAATGTAGTCTTGGAGGAAATTCCAAGTAATGGGATCATCGTCCAAATTAATGCCTTTTTTATTTTGATTTACTTGTGCTAATCTTTTGCATAGAAGACGTAATTTCTTGTGCTTTTATGGTAGAAGTTGAGTCCAATATATATATATATATATATATATATCACCGCAAAACAAATAATATTATATTGCGTGGAGAAAAACTTATCACAACTTATAATGGCATCAGATTGATCTAACTTGAAGGCTAGATCGCCTAAAATATACTCAAAAGAATAATATTGGTTTGTGAGTAGTCAGGGTACTCTCTGATACCCAAGTCAATAATGAAAATAAGCACCAAAAGGTAAGAGCGTGAGTATCCGTTGCTGTGTACCTTTTCGGTAGGCTCCATTTCCAATCGTTTGAGGCGGTTGAGAGATCCCTAGAACTCTTGCATTTTGTTCCGCATTTTAGGGAATCGTGTCTCACATTTGCGAATTTTTAGGAGTGGATAAAACCATATTGAATGGAATAAACGCAGACCTGGTTAAGGCCCCTCAGACTGCTGGTCCGAATTTGGCTATTTGGCTAAAAAGGTAGGTAAAAAAAACATGTATGTTTGGGATGACTTTTTGGCTAATTACGAAAAGATGTGCAAAAAGTAGAGAGAAAAGAGAATCTTTGACTTTTTGGTATGGGTTGTTGGCTTTTTGGCTAATTTAGTAACTTTTTGACTAATTGACTAAAATAGCCTCTTGCCAAACGAGGCCTAAGTCTAGCTCGGTGACGAGCTATCTCTAGCTCAATTTCTTAGCATGACCTTCTAGTCTAACTCTCCTTTCTGGCCCTGATCAGCTCCAATAAACATCATGTGACTTCTAATTTGGATTTTACCTCCCACATATACCATTTTATATAGTCATTACGGTACGTAGCAAGATTGATTGTCAAATTAATTTTTGTTACATTACAATTTTTTTTGTTGTCAACTAATCTATGTGTGGATAATAATGTAAGTGAACTACACCGTAATTGCAGCATTGACAAGTCTCTGTTTCACTTTTTCTGAAACTTAATCTTCAAAACAAACAAAATTGCAGTAATTACATTTTAGTAAAATAGTAAAAGAATAATTGTACTATATATGAATTTTTGTGTAAATATACAAAGACTTGACATGATACACAAAAAGAGACTTGTACCTCGTCAAATGAAAAAGTCATGATGTGAATCTGTTGACATTTTCTGCATTCCAAACCTATTGAATCTTAATCAAAATCATTTATTTATTTATTTATTTTTCATTCCAACTATATGAATAAAGTAAGCAAAGGTGGATATGGCTTTTAAGAAGGAACCTCTGACAAGCATATAGAGTATGTCACTCTTACCATTTAATGTGTCACATTATATTTTTATTGATATATTGATATATATATATATATATATATAGCATTAATATTTAGAGAAAAGTTGTGATAAATCCAAATTAAGGAAGGTGTAAAGCATTAGGTCCAGTGAATATTTTTTTGTTGGTAAGAAATCCACACTTTGTGAAATAGCTTGGTGAGAAGTCCTAGAAGACATTTTATTTCAATTTTACCTCTTGACTTTTTTTATTAGTTTGACTTTTTGTTGGTTATCTATTCAAATTTATATCTGTCTGTTCAAATTTTTTTTCTATCTATTCAATTTCTTTGACTATCTGTTCAATTTGCTCCCTAAATTCTATTTATCTGTTCAATTTTTTCCCTAAATTCTATGTATCTGTTCAATTTTTTTTTTTTTTATAAATTCTATCTATCTGTTCAATTTTTTTCTATCTGTTGAAAATCTATGTCAACTTAATTATTTATCTGTTGTAATCATCATCATCATCAACATGAATTTTTTTTTCTCCAAATCTGTCTCATACATACACACTCATAGATATACATAAATACACTCACACACTCAAGATATACATATATACACATACTTACAAATATATACATATACTCAAGATATACATACATATTCATATGTATATATGAGTCATATAAGTCTAGATACAACTGGACAACAAATACTAACATACATGCATACATACATACATATATGTAACATCCCAAAAATTTTCTTTTAAATAGTCAATGCATAAATTAATTGAGTAATAATTGGATTGGAGTGTTGTGTAAAGTTATGTATAAAAATGGTTTAATTTTTGTAATAATTTTTTTTTAAAATATAATTTTCAATCTTAGAAATTTTGAAATTTTTATTATGTTGTTCATAAGAGTCTAACATGTTGGATAAAAAATTTGGAATTTAATGGTGTGCATTTATTTTATGAGAATTTACAGACTGATTGGTGTTCAGTTTAATTTATAGCAGAATTTGAAATTTGAGTTTTGGGTGTTTGGACCATTATTTGAGATAAATTTGTTTGGTCTATTTTGGTATATAATTGGACCATGTTTGGCTTATGGGTGAGACCCATGATTTGGATTTAATTTAATTTGAATTTGTTTAGTGACTCATGTTTAATTGTTTGGTTCTTTTTAATTATGCGATTGGTAGTAACCATCTTGGGAGTTGTTATTGTTTATTACATAGCATTATAATAAATATTTGATAGTTGATTTTATGGTGTGTACCATACGGTGGAAAAATTATATATATTTTATAAAGAATGAAATGTATATGAACAAAATATTATATTTTGTGGTGTATAAAAATGTTATATTTTGTGGTGAGAAAAAATATATCATTTTATAATTTATATTATAAATTCTGATATATTATTACAAAAGTTATATATATATATATATATATATTTTTTTTTTTTTTTTGGGAAAAACCAAGGTTTGGGAAGCAAACCCACGTGGGTTGCTCCCCCATTTTTGTCCTTACCATCATCTCCCCTTTCTTTTCATTTCATTTCTTTTCTGGGGCTTGGGTTGGCAGACCCCTCTCTGCCTCTCTCTCTCTCCCTGTCCGTCTCTCTCTCCCTTTCTCTTTTCTCCATTTTTGCTCAAGCTTCAAGCTTGAAATGGGAGTCTTTAGAGCAAGATTTTGCAAAAATTTTGTAAATGAAAGTCAGAGAGGTCGTCGTGATCTTCACAATGGTGGTCTTGGATCCATGATTGGGTAATGTTTGCATTTTTGGATTAGTTTTTTTTCATATTTGAGGTAGGGACTTTCTTCATATTATTACTTTAAAGTTATGTTAGGGTTATTTTGAGAAAATATGTCATTATAAGAGGTATTGCATATATATATATAGATATTTTAGATTTTTGTTTGGTAATTTTTGGAAGAAAAAAATTATGTTGAAATGTTAAGAATGTTGACATTTTGAGATTGATTTGGGAAAATCATTTTGTGTTGATAATTTTGTAAAAAAAAATCCGAAAATAAAATTTAAAAGTTACATGGATTGTATCTACATCATATTATGATTAGAAAATTTATTTTTGAGAAAATATAAAGTTGAAATATTTTTTTATCTTTGATTTGGAATTTATTTTTGAAAAAAATAAATTAATGTTGATGAATATTGAGTAAATGCTTAAGTTAGAATTATAGAGTTGTTTTGGGATTAAAAACTCTAAAAGTGTTATATTCATGATGTTTTATGAAAGATGATATGTTGATGATTTAGTTTTGTTCTTTTTGTGAAAATAAAAATGTGAAATGTGGACTTTCGAACTCATAATCTTGAAAATGTTTCTGTTGGCATATTTCATAATTTTTGATGTAAAATATCATGTTGGTTAGGTAATTTTAGAAAAAGTTGTGAAATTGTAATTGGTAGAGAATTTGGGACAAATATTACCTCTTTAAGTAGCTTGGCATGAAAAATGGTTATGTTGAAATATGGTAATGTTTGAGGGATGAGGCATGTGAGGTTAAGTTTGGTATTATTAATTTGGAAGATGGTGAATATAATGAACTTACTAATTTGATGAATTAAATTAGTTTGGTTAATATTTTAAATCCTTCGTAATTAAAGGGGTGTTATTGGGTTTAAATTCCTAACTTTAATATTATGAGATTGAAAGTGACGAAGTTAACCGAGTATAAGATTTGGAGAAATAAGCAAGATTAAGTTGATGTGGTATGGTATTGGATTCCTAATTTTACTAGTTGAGTAATGTTATAACAATAATTTCATATTTCAAAATTTTTA